TTTTTTTTTTTTCTTTGCGTTATTTTAAATTCGATCGAACTGCTCGAAATGTTTCATTTTCACCTTTGTTGCAGCATTTGCGTATGACGTTGAATGACCAAGGACATTGTAGAGTTCAGCATCTCTGTTTTCCTGCTATATACGATATGCTCGAACATTTTCGTCAAAATGCCATACCTCTCGAATCTGGTGGAACGGCAGACGTAACTCTCGCAGAATTTGTTGTGGCGAGTCACGCAATACGGCCGGGACATCGTGACACGTCTGGAGTAAATCGACAACAGTTGCAAGAAAGGAGACCGCCAGCTGCTCCGGAGCCAAGAGAAGTAAGAGTCAGCAGTGGAAGTCTAACTCGTCTTGAGTGAACGCGAGTGGCTAACACCCACAGTCTGAAGTCTGTGACTAATCTGCAGACAGTGAGTAAATAAATAAAATGATGCACCCATTTTTGGCGCGGCTGGTAACGTGTACCTGCTAAATTGATATTTGTATCGTTAACGAAGGTTTCTATCAGTTTCTGATAGTTCGCGTGGGTCCGTGTTCGGATTATTTTGTAAATATTCAATCGCAACTGAATGTATTTTTGTCGATATGAATCGTTTCGTTCGTCGTTTCTGTATATTTTTTATACTCTTTAAATGATAATTTATGATATTTTTGAAGTCAGATGCGTCTTTTGTAAAAACGACATTTGTCTATCCACGGTTTGTTAAAATTGTGGTTTTGCTTTTTCAAACGAATCATCGATACAAATTCTACGCGCTTGCAGTTTCGTTGTTTCGGAGTGGTTGAATAGTTGCCTTTTAAATTGACGTCGCTGTTTCATCGTTTGAAATATTTTTTATCAATTTCGTGTCGTGTGCACGTGTTTGCAAGCTTTTGATCCGAATGTGGGAATCTGGTAGAATCGAAATATTACGCATACATAATTGGTATTTTGATTGAAAGCAATTACACGATTCTCAAAATTGAAACGCGTTTCAGTTTTTTGGCATCGAAGAGTTTTATCGACATACGAGAGACAACGGTGCTTGATAAATATGACCGTGGGACAAGGAGCTCGCTTTTATGTGTAAAATATTCTTAAAATTTCTGGTTCACTTTACTACCTGGAAGGACGAGTAATTCGTTGACTATTATTATCATTATACACGTAGCGTTTAAATCCAGAAAATTTAAGATAAAATATAATTATTTCACTTCGAATTGGACGTGTGATAAATGTAAACATGTTGATACGTAGGTACGCACATACGGAGGTTCTATAAGAACACGTACAGAATCACTGGAAAGACTGGAACGACAAAACAATGTTACGGAACGACAAAGTTCATCGTCATCTGGTGGTAGAGCGATTCAAAACACTTATAGTTTTCTTTGACGATGGATTCGTGATGCTCTGCCATCGGGCTACAACCCGGTTAGTCCTTTGGATTGAACAGTTTCCCCGTCAACTTGCTCTAAAAAGCAAGATAATTTTAAGTTGACGTTGTCGTATTGTCATGGTAAAATATCATTCAAAGATGTATCATTTCACTCGCGTGAACGATATTTTTTCAAATCAGCTGCTTCCGACTTTTTCAATCTTGCGAGACAAAGTTTTCAACAACCGTGTTCATTCGACGTGTTTTTCTTTAATTTCGAAAACGAAACGCGAGCTTCGAGATACAATTGTTTTATAAATGATTTTTAAAATGATGCGTGTAAATTATTTCGAATTATTTCAATGAAACTTGCAATGAGATCGTACCGGTTGTACTTTTACACGTTCAGACGTATCGACTCGAATTACCGTTCAAATCACAAGTGTTGCGAGTATTACGAAATATCTGAAATATCGTAAAATTAAAAAATTATAGCCTTTGCGTCTTTGTTTTGTTAAAGTGATTGGGGAAATATTTCGAAACTGTAGAACACGGTCCGTCGTACCAATTTATTTACTTAAGTATGCGTACTTGCAAGAAAAGTATATATAAAAAGAACATGTAAATGTATATGAAGTTAGTCTTGTTTTATATATAAAATTATTACAGACACTCTTGGTACGATTATCCTTTCTCCTATAAATTCTGGAATATATTGTTAAATGACATCTATATGACACGTATGAATCGATAGGGCTTGATTTAATGAAGTTTGAGATTAATGTACGCGTCACGCGTAAGTAATTCAATCGTGATAATCGAGCGTAACGTTCGATTTAAATTGAAGTAAAACATACGATTAAACGTTAGTCTAA